TATCTTAGGGTCGTGTACATGGGCGTACCTCACGAGCAACAACGAAAATTTAGGTGCCGATTTTGCGGAAAGGGTTACCGATGGAAGAGCACGATGCGTCGTCACGAGATGGTCGAGTGCGGTGGTAAACCTCCTGCGTTTCAGTGTCCCGAGTGTCCTTACAAGGCCAGGCAACGTGGCAATCTCACGGTACATTACAAACGACATCATCAGAAGATCGGTTACGACGAAGGCGCCTAAAACGTTGCATATTTTTCCGGATTGGCACGATCGTCTTGGAAAGCGGAACACACCGGCACCACACCCATGCTCACACGTACAAACTTTATTCTTTTTCCTTCTTCTTTTCTTTTCTTTTCTTTTTCTTTTTCTTTTTTCTTTTCTCTTCTCCTCGCTACGGACGATTTCCGCTTTCCGTGTTTCCATCAAATTTTGCCTACTCTTCTTGTCCACCGTTTTTCTTTCGTTTCATTCTTGATCGTTAAACGTAAATCGAAACGATTCCATCTTCTTTTTCTCCAGTATGTGTTACCTCGTTACGTAGCAATCCGTTGCATCTCCACTCCACGCGTACGTAACTTCTATTTATTCGCCGTTATTTCTTTCTTTTACCCGTACCCCGTAGGAATCCGTTCTTACCGTTAATTAATCGTACCGTTAGCTTTTTCGTCTCTCTGTATTTTTCGTTGCCAAACGAAGGATCGATTTAGCGTTTACTCTATCGTTTAATATCGTTTCGACTTGGATTTTCGATCGAGATCGTTTTCGTACCATCGCAAGGTGCGTTTAATTTCTACGACGATCGTACCCCAGAAATGACGCAAACGGCGCGCTACTTTTATCAACGAGTCTACCGAACGATTCTAAAAAGACGCGATTATCCACAGTACTTTCGAGTCTCAGGACATTATTCGGTTAAAAGGATGCTATAAAGAAAGAGTTTATGGTACGTAAAGATTAGGTAGGGTATCCGTACCCTTGTTTCATTTCGGTTGCGTCGAAACGAAATTGAAGAACGTGTTACCACTCTTGAAATTTCTTGTCGCGGAGTTTCCCAATTTTCTAGTACTTTTATACCTACTTTATTAGGTATCTTTGCCTTTAGATACTAAGATATTTTTTTATTTTAAAACGTTACAAGGTGTATAAGGTAAATGGAACTGAGAACACGATATACACGAAATTGGACATCTTTACGGGCGTAATAGGGATAAACGATGATAGTGCCTTCTTTTGACGAAACCGAGAAGAATATATATATATATATATATATATATGAAATATATATATATATATATATACACACACATATATACAAAACACGATATGTATAAAAGTAAACTTAGGTATAAAGCGATCGTGTATTTATCGCGAGCATTTATCGCGTTTTGCTGGTGATTTCCGCGTAATAATCTCCAGAAAATCGGTTACCTGAGAATACTTAGATTTACGATAGACGATAATAAGTACTAATTCTTCCAACATTGCCCTCTACTCGAACGCAAACGCGAGAACTTTGATACTTTTGTTAAATTTTCTACTCGAACGATAGGTGTTTGACAGACAGAGATATAAACCTTGCGAAGCAAAAGACACGGACGAGTCGGGGACTTGTGACACCGTATCGTACACACGTATATATATATATATATATATATAAATATTTTTTTTTTTTCTTTTTTTTCCTTTTTTCAGATCGCTACGAATCTCTGTGAATCGTGATCGCATTTAGAACGTATCTATGGTTTTCCGGCAATCGTAATCGCACGGTATCAGCGAAATACTTAATAACGATACGATAACGATGTGGTAATCGTTATCGTTAACGAATGTCCAATTTGATACCGCGCATACCGGTTACGATTGAGAAGCCATTCGGGATGATTGACGTTATCGTTTCCTGTTTTTAAGGATCACCGTACTTTTTTTTTTTTTTTTAGACGAATTTACCAATGCGAAGAAACTCGCTCCTATCTTAATTTAGCGGAAGGATCGAATAAGTCTGCTCAAGCGAACAAAGGAGCCGATCTCTGCGCGTATTCTTGTAGAAATGACGAGATATTTATTAGACGGAGTATCGCGTTCGTTGAAACACAGAGATTGATTACTCTTCGTTGGTCGACGACACGTGACGCATACGTATCGTATTTGGACATTCCTCGACTCTTTTCGAGATCGACTCGTTTGCCCTTCCACGTACAAGTATATATTTCTAGCCTTATAAGTAGCAACGTTTCCCCATTTTTATATATAGACATTCGTACACGCGCACAGTAGAACAATGAGAGGAGAAAGGGGAAAGAAAAAGACAGAGAGAGAGAGAGAGAGAGAGAGAGAGAGGGGGAGAGTGAGGGAGAGAAAGGGAGGAAGAGAAAGAGAGAACTATACATACACAAAGAATGAGAAGAGAAAAAAAGGACTCGTCGGGAGACTGCTTTCTGAACGAGGTCCAGTATTTTTGATATCAGTATTTACGGATGCTCGCATCAACCTGCCTGCGAACTAATCTAGGATATACTCGCTGTACCCGATTTCCCTTGTACCTTCCGTTATTAAAGTTCGAGGCGATTTTTCGTCTGGCGTGCTACCCGCGGGGACCAACCGACCGATCGGCCGCGATTCATTCCACGGTGTATTCGACATTTTTTCGCGCTGGATACTTTAAAAAGACAGTGTACCTTTCGCATTCGACACGTGCCTTTGAATTTCCTTTCATTCAACCCCGTCGCATACGACCACGATCGATATATCAACGAGGAAACAACGCAAGTCGTCCCTCTCCAATACTCGTTTCGATATTTAGCACTTTAAACTCTCTTTTTTGGAAAGATTTACCAGTCGGACTACGAATACCTATTACGATTATTATCAGCAATTAATGTTATTATTAACATTATTATTATTATACAATTTCCTACACCTCCGAGTTTGAACGTTTTTCTTTGCGTGAACGATTTGCGAGCAAAGCGAAAGCATTCAGCCGTCTGGTCCGGTCTATGACGATCCGAAAGAAAATGTCTGGTGACGATGCTCACCGGAACCGCTGGTATCGAGAACAGAATTTTCCCGGCAGACATTTGGCTAACGAAGAATTTTTGTTTTCAGCGTATTGGTACCGGCTACCCGTCAGTTTCGAGACGTATCCATGCGACACCTGCGGCAGACAGTACAGGAGGGTGATATCGTTGCAGCGGCACAAGAGACTCGAGTGCGGAAAGGAGGCTCAGTTCGAGTGTGTCCTATGCCATGCGAAATTCAAGCACAAGCACAGTTTATTGAGGCATTATAACGTTCACGTGGCGGACGTGAAGAAATCGAGCAAGTTCGAACACGAGGAGAGGTCGGCTTGACAGGCGAATCTGGATACTCGGATACGTGGAACGAGAAGTTACGGCCGTTGACAGGTTCCGCGTCCTCTCGCGCTTATTCTTCTTCTTTGTCGCTCGCTACGCGATCGCTCTACCCCGATTCGTCCTTTGCGTTTCCGTTATCGAACAGCGTGTTACCAACGATCGAGAATTGGCTAATAAAGTATCGATCGAAGGCTAAATGTCGCAGCGGAAACGAAGAAAGGAGTAGGATAGCGAAAATTGCGTTTTGCATGCTTCGCGCTTTGGAACCAGGTGTAAAAAGGATCAGTGATATATTCCTTTCCAACGTACCACTATCGTTCACCCATGTTACGCGATACAACGTATTTTATATACGATGTCTCTCTCTCTCTCCCCCCCTCCTCTCCCCTCCCCTCCCCATCTCCCATCCGCCACAAATTTGCTGTTCCGATTATTATTTTGCGTAATTTAATTTTTTTTTTTTTTCTTACGACAAATAAAAGTTACATTTTCCTACGTGCTCCTTATTTGTTACGCGATAACATGGTTCGCGTTACACGCTTTCCGTTCAAATGTCAAAGGTCGTTGATATCGGTGTGGATACGATTTTTGCAAAGGAATTTCGTCGCGTAAGCTTGGTTCGCAACCGGCGAGTAAAACGGTGTTGGGAAATAACGAAACACGAGACAGAAGAAATACTTTCCAAGCGACGATGTAACTCTCTCGTTCTCATTACGAAGGGTCGTAACGCTAAATGAACAAACGGAACATTCTCTACATCGTTCCTTTTCGTTTCAGGTTATCGGCTGCAGCTCTATCCGACAGATAGCGATACGATCGAGATACAGCGTACGGCCCCGGTAGCCTTGGATGCAAGGAATCCAGACATCTTCGAACCTGTGCAAACGCCGCGTGGACAATTAAAGTACAAATGTCCGAATTGCAATCGTTTCTACATGCGGACTTCTTGCTTGAAACGACACTTGCGAGTCGAATGCGGTCAAGCGCCGAAATATCGGTGCAACGTATGTCAGGGTTGGTTCAAGCACAAGCACAATTTGACGTCGCATATAAAGCTTCACGTCAAGCAACCGTCCTATCACTGCGACCTATGCGCGAAAAAGTTTTACAGACGAGACAAGCTGATGAACCATCAAAGGAAATTGCATAAAATTTTGCTCGACGGTCTGACCTATTCGTTGGATCAACCACTGCGTCGTAAGGTGTCTTCCAACCAGTGCTAACTCTGGTACGATATTTCGCGTTACGATACCGACTTTGAACCGATCCGTGTTCGCGAACGTCGTTTGCGATTACATCGAGGTTGCGGTAAAAGTAAGTGAACGATGTCGAAGAAAGAAGAAACCAAGATGAGAGATGGATTATTCGGAAAAGTTCCAGTGAATCGTAAAAGCTACGCAAATTGACCAACTGACCGTTTTCATGTACTTTTCCAGCCCTTTGTTTCCATTTAACGCAAACTTGCGTGTGCAATAACCATCGTGCATGTATTATCCACGCGTAACGAATGGCAAGCGTAACCGTAAAGTATGCGTGTTTATTTAATCTTTGGTCGAAATTGTCGCGGAAACATCGCGATATACGCTTGGAATAAGCGAAACATGTACGCGAATATCACTTATTTCCTGTTAATATATACGATTCTTCTCTCCCTTTTGTCTCGTCACTATTTTGCGTGTGCTTCGTTAAGAAAGTCAGTAAAGATTAGCTTGGTTGAAAAATAAATTTCGAACGGTGATTCATTGGTTCGTTCGTGATCTTGCAGGGATTCGGATGAACAATCGGAGGAAGAACGAGTGAGAATTATAGAATGTCGCCTGGCCGTTTCGATGAACGAAAAGAGTCGGCCATTGTTAAGCATCGGTAGTTAACATCGCTCGCGTAATGGCGGGAACAGTAGTACATCCGTATTTGATTTTTCAGGTGGTCCGGTACGGTGGGAACTCGCAATGGTCCAAATGACGCCATACCAGTGTCCAAAGTGCTTCAAATATTTTAAATCCTCGAAATCATGCTGCAACCATCGAAGCACGTGCGGTACGGACAAGAAATTTCGTTGCGCTTTCTGTGATTATCGGTCTCATCAAAAGGGAAACGTCGTTCGGCATCTTGCCACGCAGCATCCCGAAGCGAGTGAGAAGAAACGAGTGCACTGTGTACTAAAGATCAACGATCGTCAGAAGACTGGTTTCTCCGCTCGAACGTGAAGTACGAGTAAACCGTTCGACACGGCGAAATGAAAAAGCGCGTGTCGAAAATCAGAAAGTAATTGGTAATTGTATCGCGCGACGCGAATGCTTTTCAAACGATGTAAAGTTCAAGACGTATGCAAAAAAGTGTGTGAGAAATGAACGTTGTATTTATTGATTAATCCTAGAAAGATCTTCTCTTCGGTTGGTTTCGCGCGGTACTCGAACGACCAATTACATGGTTCGTTGCTGCAGACTTTTCCGCTCGAACAGTATCTCCCCGTTGGTTTTGCGAACGACTCAAGGTTCGCCGTACGATTGGACGTAAGGTTGGACGTATAAGGTTCGTCGCAAGGTTCGTCGCAAGGTTCGTCGCAAGGTTCGACGTCGACACTGTGCATTCGATCGGCGGTAGAAAAATCGTCGCGAAGCGACGTAGTTCCCTTGATAGTTGATGCGCATAGCAGGTTACGTATATTGCCGGAGGAAAAGTTACGTATCGCGGTGTAACGAGCTGGCTCGTTGAAATGCCGCGGATGGTCGAACGCAGTACGTGTAACAAGTGTGTGCTCGGTTACAGTGCTACAGAGACGTGGCGCGAAACATAGGACAGACCTAAAGTTATTGTTTTTTTTTTTTTCCCGATTACAGATGACACGGGCGAGAACAAAGCGATCGAGGAGAACGCCGATCTACCGGTTCAAGCTTGGAAGATCCAGGAACAGGGGCTACCGTTCGCCGAGCTGAAGATACCGAAGGCCTACAACTACGTTGGCAAGAAGCCACCGGGACAATTCGGTTGCAGCAGATGCGGAAGATCGTACATGAGGAAGGACTCGTTGCAACGACACGTTCATTGGGAGTGCGGCAAGGAACCCCAGTTTCAATGTCCCTTCTGTCCTCAACGATGCAAACGGAAGGCTCACTGGTTGCGACACATTCGCCGGCAACACTTGGACAAAATCGGGGACATGGAGGCCTATCTGCTAGCTTATACGCCGAAGCTCGAAATCGACTAAACGGAAACGTTCGTTCCGCGAAAACGACGTGTTATCCCGTTTCCATTCATCGCTCGCGGACTCTCCGATCATCAGCTTTTTCGGACTTGCTCTCATGATCCGATTCTCCAAAATTCGTTGCGATCGATCTCCCGCCTTTGCGATTTACTTTGTCTCTCCTACTTTGCGTCGGTTTTTGGAAAACAAGAATTTACTGTGTTCAAACTCGTGATATCCGCGTTATGCGTACCCCAACCCCCCCCCCCCCCCCTTACCCCCGGCCTGTTGTTCCGTTCAACCACGAGGTGTTACGAGCGCCGAAACGAAAAGATATCGCGAAAGCAGCTTCGGAGGGATGTTGCCTACCGAGTCTACGAATCGATTTCGATCCAAATCCTTTACCGATTATTTTTTCGAAAATTTAACCGTTTTTACACCGTCACACTTTTTTTTACCTTTTTTTTCATTGTACATATACATACATGCACACACACGCGCGCACACACACAGGCATACATATTTATCGAGAACGGTTATGCGAATGAAATATTCGTTACAGATCGACGCAAAATCAGCTTTACGCGCCTAAAGCAAAGTAA